AGGGAAACTGTTTCCACCAACCAGATATGATTAAGAGTAACATGCTCGCTTTCAAAACAGAAAATCTATCGAGACATCAAGTGTTTCTTTGTGTTTTTCTGAGGTCTAAAAAGAATAATGAAACATTTTGGGGCAAAAATGCAGAGCAGTAAACCATAGCTAGAGGCAAGAATTGCAAAGATTTCCACAGCAACAACATACTTCCCAGGAGAGCTAATGTAAGCTGGGACAAAGGTCACCCAGACAACACAGAAGATCAGCATGCTGAACGTGATCAGTTTGGCTTCATTGAAATTACCAGGAAGTTTCCGAGCCAGAAAGGCCAAGAGGAGGCAGGTGCAGGCCAGCAGGCCAATGTAGCCCAGTACCAGTGAGAAGCCCACCACAGAGGCCATGGCACACTTCAAGGTGACCTTTGACCCTTGGAAACCCAAATCATGTTTAGGCACTGGGGGGCTGAGGAAAAGCCAGGTGGCACAGATGATAACCTGCATGCAAAGTGCACATATTTCTTTGTTATTATTTAATATCAACTGACGATGTGATACAGAAAATAAGATGTTCTCATCATTTAATGACTAGAACAGTATTCCCACCTGTATACAGGTGAAGAGGCAGACACTTCCTCTCTGCTGGAGCGGCCCAAACCATTTCATCAAGGCTTCAGCACCAGGCCGAGCTGAGCGGAAAACTGCCAGAACCACTATGGTTTTTACCAGAAGGCAGGAAACACAAAGAACAAAGCTGATCCCAAATGCTGCCTGCTGGAGCCGACAAGACCAGACTGATGGACGACCAATGAACACCAGTGAGCACAGGAAGCAGAGCTTCAGTGACAGAAGAAGCAGGAAGCTCAGTTCTGAGTTGTTGGCTCGCACCTTGAGGGAAACCAAATTAACAGCCACAGATGTGGTCAGTTAAAGAGTTAGAGACTTTTTTTTTATTCTTCATAGTCAATAAAATTAAAGAAAGAAATGCAACATACTCTGTTACATTATGCTGGGCTCTTACCACAGGTGAGTGACGATAGTAAAGAAACACCACAAACACAGCTGTTGTCACCATGGCACCCGACACAGCTGCTGTAGTCAGGGTAATACCCAAAGCTTCATTAAAGGAAAGGAAGTCCAGCTGGGGAGGGATGCAGGCAGTTCGTTCAACGTTGGACCAGAACTCAGATGGACAACGCTCACAGTGAAGGGAACCTGGAAGAGGAAGGCACACAAAATCAGGAAGGAGAAAAAACTTGGGAAAAATGTAGATAAGCTGAAAAGCATTATAAAAAATCATGACTAATGCCTATTGAAAGTTGTGGAGTTACTGCAGTGGTGACTGTATAAACTATTTATAGGAACACCTTATGTTTCCTCACCAGTTTTGTTGCTAATCTCCCCTTCAGCACATGGGATACAGTCAAAGCAGCAGACAGGTTCCCCTTTCCTGTTGGCCATTCGGGTACCTGGGGGGCAGCTCTCACTGCACACTGAAACAGGGACCTATACAATAAACCAACCCATAATTAAGTCAAAGTAAATGTATTCTCAACAGCATAATATCAATCTATAAAAAACTTTGAAGTGATATAAATCAGCATTATTTTCCTAAATGATACCTGACTGGATCCTGTGTTCCATTGAATAGCTGACTCATTAAGGTGAATGTCAAACCCATTCACACGACCAAACACAACAAGCTTCAGTGACCCCTCAGGGGTCTTCTGCCAGTTGACAAGGTCATACTTAGCTGGAACATCAGCCCCTTGAAAGTAAAACATTTCACCCTGTGGCGTGGTGAAATTTACACTGTTCAAGTGCTGAAACAACTGTAAAATCCACAAAGTATTGAAACAGGTCACATTGTATTGACAGAGCCTGTGTAACATAATATTTGTCACAAATGTATTTTGGATTGGAAAGACTGATAATTATACCTCAATGGGTTGGATGTTTTTTGGAGAAACACAAGTGGAGCTGTTGTTGCTTTTACTGGGACAGGACAGAAGACTATGAAGGGCGTGGGCTGCAGCATAAACAGCAAGGTAGACATTATATGTCACCCGTAG